GTAGACAGGTTTCAGTAGAGCTTCCAGACTAAGACTAGGAAGAAGGACCTGAAGGTCTACTTTTGAAAAAAACTGGCCATTGAAAACCTTATGAATAGCAGCACAACACTGTCTGATATAGTGCCAGAAGAGGAGACCCTCAGGTTGGAAGGCACTCAAAATATGACCGGGGAAGAGCCACCTCCTCAAAGCAGAGTCGACCTTAATGACATGGATGGAGTCAAGCTTTTGGGACCTTCATTTGCTGATGTGGCATGACTCAAAATGAGTAGAAACAGCTGCAAACATCCATTAATAATCAGAAAGTGGAATGTACGAAGTATGAATCTAGGAAAATTGGAAGTCGTCAAAAATGAAATGGATGGCAAACTCCCTAAGGGACCGAATTACTGGGCTGAGGGCTGTGGGGACCATGGTCTCGGGGAATATCTAGCTCAACTGGCATAACATAGTTTACAAAGAAAATGTTCTACATTCTACTTTGGTAAGTAGCATCTGGGGTCTTAAAAGTTTGTGAATGGCCATCTAAGATACTCCACTGGTCTCACCCCATCTCGAGTATGGGAGAATGAAGAAAACCAAAGACACAAGGGAAAGATTAGTCCAAATGACTGATGGCCCACAAGTACTACAGCCTCCACCAGATTCAGTCCAGCACAACTAGATGGTGCCCGGCTACCATCACTGACTGCTCTGACAGGTATCACAATAGAGGGTACTGGACAGAGCTGGAGAAAAACGTAGAACAAAAGTCTAACTCACAAAAAAAAGACCAGACTTACTGGTCTGACAGAGACTGGAGAAACCCTGAGAGTATGCCCCCTAGACACCCTTTCAGCTCAGTAATGAAGTCCTCTGGAGGTTCACCCTTCAGCCAAAGATTAGACAGGTCCATAAAACAAAATGAGACTAAAGGGGCACACCAGCCCAGGGGCAAGGACTAGAAGGCCGGGAGGAAACAGGAAAGCTGGTAATAGGGAACCCAAGGTCAAGAAGGGGAGAGTGTTGACATGTCATGGGGTTGGTGACCAATGTCACAAAACAGTACGTGTACTAATTATTTAATGAGAAGCTAGTTTGTTCTGTAAACCTTCATCTAAAGTACAATAATAAAAAAATAAAATAAAACCTATTAAAAGAAAATTCTTAATCAAGAATATTTCCCTTTTCCTCCTCCAAACGCAGCATGTAGAAAATTTGTTTATAAGAACATTCATTTAAGAAAGTAGGAAGGTAAGAAAGGAAAGCAATAGAGTACTAGAGTAGTAGGATGGGAAAAGCAGAAGTAGGGAGACTTCATCTTAAATTTGCTTTAAAAATGCACACCATGGCCAACTTCAAGTGATATGGACTGCTTACAAGTAAAATGCATAATATGGCCCGCATACAAGTAAAAAGAAATAATCAACAACAACAAAAATGAAATGGAATGCATAAAGATCAATATCCGAGGTATTAGTGAGCTGAACTGGACTGGTATTGGCCATTCTGAATCAGATAACCATATGGTCTACTATGCTGGGAATGACAAATTGAAGAGGAATGGCATTGCATTCATCGTAAAAAGGACATTTCAAGATCTATCTGAAATACAATGCTGTCAGTGATAGGATAATATCCATATGCCTACAAGGAAGACCAGTTAATACGACTATTATTCAAATCTGTGCACCAATCACTAAGGCCAAAGATGAAGAAACTGAAGATTTTTACCAACTTCTGCAGTCTGAAACTTGATTAAACATGCAATCAAGACACACTGATAATTAGTGGTGATAGGAATGCGAACATGAGGAAACAAAGAAAGATCTGTAGTTGGAAAATATGGCCTTGGTGATAGAAACAATGCCAGAGATGGCAAGATAGAATTTTGCAAGACCAATAACTTATTCATGGCAAATACCTTTATTCAACAACATAAACAGCGACTATACACATGGACCTCGCCAGAAGGAATACACAGGAATCAAACTGACTACACCTCTCGAAAGAGATGATGGAAAAGCTAAATATCATCCATCAGAACAAGGCCAGGGACCAACTTCAGAACAGACCATTAACTGCTAATATTCAAGTTTAATTTGAAGCTGAAGAAATTTAAAACAAATACAAGAGAACCAAAATACAACCTTGAGTATATCCCACTTAAATGTGGAGACCATCTCAAGAATAGATTTGACACATTGTACACTAATGACCAAAGATCAGACGAGTTATGGGGTGACATCAAGGACATCATACATGAAAAACAAAAGATCACTAAAAAGACAGAGAAGAAAAAAAAGACCAAAATGGATGTCAGAAGTCTCTGAAACTTGCTATTGAATATAGAGTAGCTAAAGCGAATGGAAGAAATGATGAAGCCAAAGAGCTGAAGAGAAGATTTCAAGGGGCAGCTCGAGAAGACAAAGTAAACTATTATAATGAAATGTGCAAGGACCTGCAGTTAGAAAACCAAAAGGGAAGAACATGCTCGGCATTTCTCAAGCTTCTTTCAAGCTGAAGAAAAAATTCAAGCCTAGAGTTACAATATTGAAGGATTCTACAGGGAATATATTGAATGATGCAGGAAGCATCAAAAGAAGATGGAAGGAATACACAGAGTCACTGTACCAAAAAGAACTGGTCAACGTTCAACCATTTAAGGAGGTAGCACATGATCCAGAATAGATGGTATTGAAGGAAGAAGTCCAAGCTGCACTGAAGGCACTGGCAAAAAACAAGGCTCCAGGAATTGAAAGAATACCAACTGAGATGTTTTAACAAACGGATGCAGCATTGGAGGTGCTCACTCATCTATGCCAAGAAATTTGGAAGACAGCTACCTGGACAACCAACTGGAAGAGAGCCATATCTGTGCCATTCCAAAGAAAGGTGAACAACAAAATGTGGACATTATTGAACAATATCATTAATATCATAAGCAAGTGAAATTTTGCTGAAGATCATTCAAAAGTGGCTGCAGCAGTACACCAACAGGGAACTGCCAGAATTTCAAACCGGATTCAGAAGAGGACATGGAACAAAGGATATGATCATTGATGTCAGATGGGTCTTGGCTGAAAGCAGAGAATACCAGAAAGATGTTTACCTGTGTTTTCCTGACTACACAAATGCATTCAATTCTGTGGATAATAATAAATTATGGATAACACTGTAAAGAATGGGAATTCCAGAACGCCTAATTGTGCTCATGAGGAACAAAGACCAAGAGGCAGTCATTCAAACAGAACAAGGGGATACTGAGTGGTTTAAAATCAGGAAAGGTGTGTGTCAGGGTTGTATCCTTTCACCATACTTATTCAATCTGTATGCTGAGCAAATAATCCCAGAAGCTGGACTATATGAAGAAGATGGCAGCATCAGTATTGGTGGAAGACTCATTAATAATCTGCAGTATGGAGATGACACAACCTTGCTTGCTCTAAGTGAAGAGGACTTGAAGCACTTACTCATGAAGATCAAAGACCACAGCCTTCAGTATGGATTACACCTCAGCATGAAGAAAATAAAAACTCTCACAACTAGACCAATAAGCAATATCATAATAAACAGAGAAAATACCGAAGTTGTCAAGGATTTCATTTTACTTGGTTGCATAATCAACACCCATGGAAGCAGCAGTCAAGAAATCAAATGATGTTATTGGTGCCATGGATTGAATTATGTCCCCCCCAAAATGTGTGTATCAATTTGGCTAGGCCATGATTCCCACTATTGTATGGTTGTCCTCCATTTTGTGATTGTAATTTTATGTTAAAGAGAATTAGCGTGGGATTGTAACACCATCCTTACCCGGGTCACATGCCTGATCCAATGTAAAACGAGTTTCCCTGGGGTATGGCCTGCCCCACCTTTTATCTCTCAAGAGATATAAAGGAAAGGGAAGGGAGCAGAGAGGGGGACCTCATACCATCAAGAAAGCAGTGCCAGGAGCAGAGCATGTCCTTTGGACCCGGGGTCCCTGAACAGAGAAGCTCCTAGTCCGGGAAAGATTGATAAGAAGGCTGACAGAGAGAGAAAGTCTTTCCCTGGAGCTCGCACCCTGAATTTGGATTTTTAGCCTACTTTACTGTGAAGAAATAAATTTTTCTTTGTTGAAGACATCCACTTGTGGTATTTCTGTTACAGCAGCACTAGATGATTAAGACAGCTGGGTAAATCTGCTGCAAAAGACCTCTTTAGAGCGTTGAAAAGCAAAGATGTCACTTTAAGGACTAAGGGTGCCTGGCCCAAGCCATGATATTTTCAATAGCCTCATACGCATGGGAAAGCTGGACAATGAATAAGAAAGACCAAAGAAGAACTGATGTCTTTGAATTATGGTCTGGGTAAAGAATATTGAATATAGCATTGACTGCCAGAAGAATGAACTTCTTGGAAAAAGTACAGCGTGAGTGCTCCCTGGAAGCAAGAATGGCAAGACTTCATCTCACGTACTATGGACATATTTATCAGGAAGGAACAGTCCCTGGAAAAGGACATTATGCTCACTAAGACCCAGGACAAGATGTATCGTCACAGTGGCTGCAACAAAGGGCTCCAACATAGTGAAGATTGTCAGGATGGCGCAGGACCGGGCGGTGTTTCATTCTGTTGTACATAGAATCGCCATGAGTCGGAAACAACTTGATCACACCTAAACAACAATACATTAGGAAGATCATGTGATATAACAAAACCAAAAAAAGAAAAAAAAAGGTGTCATTGGGTTGATTCCAACTCATGATGAACCCATGCGAGTCAGAGTAGAAAAACTCCATAGGGCTTTCAATGACTGATTTTTTGGAAGCAGACTGCCAGGTCTTTTTTCCAAGGCACATCTAGGTGGCCTCGAGCAAATAAACTTTCAGTTACAGTCCAAGTTTTCAACCATTTGTGCTACCCAGAAACTTCTGTGATATGACAAAGGGCTTAGCCTTTTACTGTATGAAGCACTCCCAAGAATACTTAAGAAAAAGACCAACAACTGAACAGGAAAAGTGAACAAAAAGTCCTACTTGGCCGGAGATTCCCCTTCCTGGCTGCCCTGGGACTCCTCCACTGCTGCGGTTTCCTCCATCGGTGCTGTCTGCTCCACATCACTGAAAACAGCAAGAACTTTCCAGTCATACAAATATGTTCACAACAATGTCTTTATGTATTTATTTAATACAGAAAAAAAAAAACCATTTTAATTTAATTTTTTTTAAGTAAATATCCTTCAAGGAACTACATACTCCATACGTGTACCCACATCAAAATGAAAATGAGAAAACGCTCTAAATTGCTTCTCCATATACAAATTTCTCAAAATCTGAAAAGTAGTTTGAGAAACAGAAGTTTCAATGAATGGTCTAAAACTAAGAACAGATTGTATACGGCCAAAAAAATTGCTCAAAACTCTTATTATCTTAGGGAATACCAAATTTTAAAAGGAGCCATAAAAATTCCCATATTACAAGTGTTAAAAGATGTTATAAATAGTATGCTACCTCAAACTTTTAGAAAACGTTAAGAAGTAGAAACAGATTCTACAAAAAATGGGTGTGTATGATTCAAACAAGCTGGCTATGACTATTTTAGAAAAACCAAGGCTTTGAAACAGGAAGATTTATATGCCATCATGTCTAAATACACAATCAACAGGTTAAAAATTACAACACAATGAAAAATCTTTTAAATTTTAATGCACATGATCTTAATTTTTCCTTTTCATGTCAACATTAATCCTATCAGATCATTACTTTTTTAAAAAAAAAGTCCCAGCAAAAGAAATTTCATTTTCAGTAAAATGTTAAAATCAGTCAATATAAATATATTCATTAGAAATAGTTCACAGTCTACATACTTTTTCCAAGTTCAGGAAAAGGCTTCGATGAAGGTTTTAAAAGTACGTTAATTTTTAAAATAGTAAACATAAATTGAACTGCAATAACAGAACAGACTTTTTCACATTTAAATAATTTATGTACATTCTCAACTCAAAGGTACTGGATCAACATTTTTAAAAACTCAGCTTTTCAACACAAAATATAAATAACTTCTACTAAAAGAAAATTCCACATCAAATGCACTTGGTGCTCAGAGGAGCATCCCTGCTGTCTGCCCAGTGGCCACTCCCGTCACAAACAGGCTAGCATCCACACATCAGCCTGACCTCAGTGGGGGCCTAGGATTTCTTTCTCACCCAGTACCCTCCACATCTAGCAGCAGTGCTGAATTATTCCAACCTTCTCTTTAGTCCCTGGCTTCGTTAACAAACCAAGGGGGTAAAATAATATAGGTTTACTGACAGTTCATAGCCTTCAACAATTAATCATAAAAGTATTATGAAGATCTAGGGGGGAAAAAAGGAAGAAGCAATACAAAACAGAAAGACTGTGAAACCAGCATTTCTCACATTTGACAATCTACTTTGAAGAAAAAAATCATAGATCTCCTCCCTCTACTGACCTAAATTACTTTATGAATAAACATAAAACTAATGTGACACAGTGGCTGCAGCATAAAAACGATTGTGAGGATGGCGCAGGACCAGGCAGTGTTTCATTCTGTTGTACATAGGGTCATGATGAGTCGGAACTGACTTCGTGGCACCTAACAACAACGGTGTGCTTACAGCTCTTTATAGAACAATTAAGCTTCAAAATTAGCAACATTAATCTATTTTGGCAGATTGTGTTATTTTGTTGAAAGTAAATCTCTATGTTGGATTTATGAGAAGATGCCCCAGGGCCCTTGCCTATATTCTGACTTCCAACATACCAACGCAGAGAATGCCTGTTTGCACAAGTCTGTTCCACAAAACGACATTAAACACGTCAAGCCTTTGCTCCCTAGTTCAGATTTAATTAGACTTCACACTTAACCAAATCTCTGACAGCAAACATATTTTAATCAAATGTTGCTTAATTAACTATGTAAAACTCTCTTGCTCTTCACAGTAAAAATTGAAAGGCAGCATTATTGAAAAGGCTATTCATGGTTGTCTATTCCAACTGGTAACAGGAAAACAATCTGATGTTACACTTTTTTAATTACCACAGATGGAAAAAATGCCATTTTTAGCATAGACATTCCCTGTCAAACTATTGAAGAACACCAATAATATTTGAAATAGCTCAGTCACACCATTTTGAAAGCATCTTGTCCATAGATCTAGATATCACTGCCAATGTGTCCCAGTAGGAATACAAGCAAAACCCAAAAGCACTCACACAGAGGTTCGTGACAGCATTTGGCCCTCACTAGGCATGAACGCATCACTTACTGTATTAGGTTCACCTGGGTTTTTTTCTCAAGTCCAAAGTGGCACATAACCCACTGCACTACATTATTTTCATGATGATAAATCCAAATCCCTATTCATTAAAAAAACATGGAAATCTTATTCTAAGAAAATATTTCAAATACAAATTATTACCACCTAAGAGTTTTGACTTTATAACTCACAAAGCAACTGAAAATGTGTGCAGTAGGGTGGGAATCATTTTCACAATGGGACATGACACCCCACCAGGAGCACCTTCCAAGTTCAACACTAGCCCCCTAGACTAAGAAACCACTTAGAGACAAAATCATTTTAGATATAAATGCAAACTGAAATGGGGTGGTAGTATTAGGTAAGGTAATAAATCATATGATTTAGAAGGTGTTTGTACTACTTTTTTTATATTATCGAAGTAAAATAACATAAGATTTGTAATAGCAATCCTGTGGAACTCCAGATAAAAAGACATCCAACAAATTTCCTTTTCCTTTCAAGGACAACACAGGTGTGCAAAGGTAGTAAATCTGGTATTACATGTGACATTATTTTGTAGATTCATCTTTCAGGAAAACAATTTAAGAAAAATGTTTATGTAAAAAACTTACATTCCTTTCACAATAGCCAGAAGATGGACAACATCCTAAATGTTCACTAACAGATGACTGGATAAACAAAATGTGGTACATTTTTATGACTATTACTCAGCCATAAAGAGAAATGAAGCCCTGATACATGTTATGACATGGATGAACCTTGAAAACATTATGCTAATTGAGTAAGTCAGTCATAAAAGGACGAATATTGCATGATCCCACTTACGCGAAACATCCAGAACAGGCAAATGTACAGAGACCAAAGATTACTAGTGATTACTAGGGGCAGGCAGGAAGGAGAAAGAGGGACCTATTGCTTGGCAGGCACTGAGCTTCTGTTAAGGGTGATGGAAACATTTGGAAATGGACAGTGGTAATGGTTGCACAAGATGAAAGTAATTAATGTCACTGAACTGTGCATGTAAAAAAATGTTAAAATGGCAAACTTTTTTGTTTATATAAATATATATATATATATACACACACTCAGCCCAATTTAAAAACAAACTTAACGTTCTTCAAAAGTGGAAAAGTAAAAGTGGGTCCTGCAAGCCCTCACACTCCAGAAAGCCTGCCCTGCAGCTTGTCCTCTGGGCAACATCATTCACCCTGAAGGGCCCCTGCGGTGCTTCCTACCTCTGCTTCTGCAGATGCCAGGAAGACATCGTTCCTGCAGCCCTGAAAAGACAGAGTACAGAGTAGACCTACTCAAACTCGCAAAACTGGCCATATCTTAGGCACCTGGAAGCCTCAAGAGAAATGTCAAATTTGAAGCACAGGTGAAACCTGACCTTGAGCTTCAATCTGCAAATGAATTTACAAAATCAAGATGCAATGTCAAGGATTCACAAGAACTCTGAAAGGTTAGAGAAACATAAAGTATATATCCACCAAGTAGAACATCAGGAATTTCAAAGGCATTCCCAGGCAGCACCATGTACACGGGACACCAGCAGACATGTGGTCACCTGCCACAGATTAGTTTGGTTAAAACAAGATAAAATTAGAATTTTAAAAGCAATTTAAAATCTAATTGCAAAACAACAAAGCTGTTTTAAAAGTTACCTCACTAGAGGTGGGGCCAAGATGGTGGAGTAGTCAGACACTTCTGGTGGACCCTCTTACAACAAAGACCCAAAAAAACAAGTGATTGGATTATATATGGCAATCTGGGAGCCCTGAACATCAAAAGCAGAGTTGAGGAACTGGACTGAGTGGCAGGATGAGGGACAGACGGTTCAGAAGCAGCGAGGAGTTGCCAGACCTGACCAAGCGAGAGCCTGAGCCCTTCATGACTGAGCAGCTCGCGGGTGAGCGGTGAGGCAGACAAGGAGCCGTGCTCGGGAGACGCGTTTTCCCCACCAGGCAAGACTCAGCACCACAGACTCTACAAGGCCATCCAGAACCAGTGAGAAGCAACCCTCCACGAAAGATAAGTACTTGCATATCGCCAACCACATGGAGCAAAAACACCCCCCTTAGGGAAAAACCTCTCTCCCATTTACCTCCCCGCTACCTGCTCTGGACCAACCGGCTTCAGCAACTGCCAAGTCCCTTAGGCCGGAAGTGGGATCAGTCACATGCCTGGAGCCATTCTCCCTGCCTTGGAGGGTGAAAAAAATTAACAAATGGGAAAAAATAAACTGACAACTCCCCTAAGCCAGGAACCCAGGGTAGGCACAGCTCTTTTGCCTAGGCACAGGCATAAGGGATCCATGAACTTTGAGTGCCTTTCCGCCTGCATAGACTTGTGTGGGCCCATCTCAACGGTGTAGGCCCACATTACCGCAGTACAACTGGGTATATACCGGAACTCTAACTTCAACTGTTTCAGCTGTGAAGTGGCATTAAGCAGGTTCTTCACCTACCCACATCAGGGGCCTGAGGCTGGTGGCTCCACCCATGCCACCTAACCACCTGCGACAAGGGCCCATGAATCAGAGGTGCCCTCCAGTCCTTACAGCCAACAGCATTAGGTGCTCACAAACCAGCTGCAAAACCCACACACGTACGCACTCTAGGGAACAGGGACACGCCTTCCTCACGGACACTCGGGGGTGGCCATAAGCAACCCTGCCTTGCTCAGAGCGTGTCCCCCTGCTGCAGCTAGATGCCAGTGCCTACACCAATCACCTATGCCTGTCTAGGAATGTAAGTGAGAGCCTACACCACACACTTAGTGGCTACAAACGTGGGCACCTGAGCTGAATCCATACAGGAGACGTGGGTAGACTCCTGA